GGTGATTACTACCAAAGAGAACAATTGTGTCCCCCTGAGGAATTCCCACTAATTTTGCATGTTGTTGAGGCGGCAGCACCTACAATTTGTGGCAAAATGGAGGAGACCGGGCAGAAAAAAATGGGGTCTGTCTAAAATCCCAGGAACCTTACTGTGAAAGGGGAGAGTTTGAATCCCCCGTTTTTCTAGCAATTGTCTTACTGGGCTCTTGAAGCACTGGGCAGCTGAGTGCAAGACCTGGCAAACATTTCAAAAGGAAAGTGGGAGAGGATCCGCTTACTTGCTCTCTCAGGGGGCAGCAGACAGTGAGTGCCTGCTGAACTTTGCCAGCCAGCACATCTTTTGCCACACATGCCTGCCGTTGTCTGTAGTTGTGCAGAGATAGCAATAATTTTTTAAAAAGGCATTTTTGCAGGAAAATTATTTTTCTTATTATTATTTTTCGATTTATATCCTGCCTTTTTCCTACAAAGGGCTCAAGGCAGCTTACATCTTACATCTTCTCCTCCATCTTATCCCCACAACAACAACCCTGTGAGGTATGTTGGGCTGAGTCTGTGACTGGCCCAAAGTCACCCAGTTGGCTCCATGGCTGAGCGGGGACTAGAACCCAGATCGTCTGAGTCCCAGTCCCATGCTCTTCACCACTACACCACACTGGCTATTAATTTTTTGAAAAAGTATCCCAAGGCAGTCCTTTCAAGATACTGCTGACAATCCTTGGAGGGACTTCCTGAGGATTGAGGGGAAATGAGATGGGCACAGACAGAACCATGACTTGCCTAGTTTTCTGTCAGGCACATTATAGATCACGTTATGTGTAGCCTGTTCTACCATGTGGGTTGTCTTGTCATGTGGCCCCACACTTTGAGGACCTGTTAATGTGATGGGACCTGTATGTATGTAAAAGTAATCTGTAGAGAGAAAAGGGGAGAATTTGATTGAAAGAGTGGGATTCTGAAATAGGTTGGTTTAATCTGGGGGTCCTTTTTAAGTGAAGAATTGTGGATTCTCAACATGGACTTTGCCTGTGGATTTTATTCTTTTCTCACATTGCATAAACCATGTTTTGTGTCTCCACATGTCTCCATTTGGTTTTCCTAGGCCTCTTTGCATTCCTACACACTGCAAATCCATGTTCTAATGTTGTTACTCCTGGTCCTAATCTGTATAGAGCTTTTGATAATGAAAAGCAGGCATTCCTCTGGTTAAATACCATATTTGGTTTTTCTCCTTTGTTTTGAGTTCATGCTATTTTTATGCTGAAAAACAAAGGGCATTTATATTATAAAAGATATGTTATGACTACTTTAACAATCTTAGGGTTGAGCTCTGATTGTTTGCTCAGAATTAATACCCACAGATTTTTACAAGTCTTCTAAGTAGGTATTAGATTCTGGCATTATTAGGATCTATTTCTTTCACTTTCTTCTGGAAATTTTCATTTATTTTGATACTACCAATAATATGTGACATTTATATTATGAAGGAACCACCCAATCTTTAAATCTTCCCCATTTGAAATTGCATGCAAAAATGCTTAACTCTGGTTTTCTGCACAGTGTTTAAAATATACTTTCTTTATTTCTCCCTTCCTTCATTCTGTCCTTCCGTCCTTCCTTCCGTCCTTCCTTCCATCCTCTAACCCCCATTGACCTCGTATTTAAAAACCCACATAAACAAAATCCATTCCATTTTGATTGTGTGTTTCTCAGAATATTTTGGCAACTGTTTGCATTAGCCTGTTGTACATCTTGATATGTAAACTTACAGTTTAATTAAATGAATAGTCACTATGGTAATATTAAGGTTATAAACTTAGGCAATTATGTAATGCCACATGTATAATTATTTTTTCTGATTTTAGGTACTTAGAGGTATGTGAAATAATTATGTAAAGAGGATACTATTAGCGGAGGTTTTTCTAATTATCTTAACTAGTGGTAAAACTCTTCTTCCTTGCTTTGCTTTGTGTGCTAAATACGGAAGTTGTGAAATAACAGTACTATATCAGATTTTAACATGAGAGCAGTCTTTTAGAGATAAACAATCTTGGACAGCAACATCTGTTCTGTTTTAATAGTTCATCTTATGCTGAAACATTGGTAACAGTCCAGATGGCTTTTTATCTGTGAATAGAATAGCCTTCATTTTCCTCTCTTAGTAGAGGCATTGATTGTTTTTCCTAGCAAAAATGAATTTTGAAACTGTGTGGAAAGCCTCTGAAAGCAGACCCTTTTAAAAGTTCACTTTTTCTTTACTCCAAATGCTCAGCCCTGTAGCTGCCCTGCAAAGTGTGTGTTATGAATCCTGCAGGGGGAAGCAGCTGGGGACATACTGTGGACGGAGGTGAGAGTTAAGAGAGCGGGAGCCTGCCGCAAGCTTGTCTGGCACTCTCCCTTGCCCTTCCCCTTGGTATAAATTCCCTCTCCTGTTCCTTCCTGGCCTTAGCCATGATTTATCATTCTTTATAAGTGCACTAACACTAAATAGAGCTCTTCCCTTAGCCAGAGATGGAAACTGAGCCTGTAAAAGTATGGCTAGGACAGAACCTTGGTTAACCATGCCTTATAATGCTTTTTTCAGCAACTCCACCTGTTGCAGAGAGCTTCTGCAAATCTGTTGAGCGTGCACACACATGCAGGGTCTTGTATTGAACAAGCTGTCTCAGGATGCTTCCAGATGAGATTCCTATTCTGCAGTCACCCTGCTCATTCACAGGGTGGTGGTCCTGGCGACTTCTCCCATTCCTCCTACTCCTGTATTTTCCCATTGCTTCTTACGATGTTTTCCTTATTATGGAAAATTTGTTAAGGGGAAAAGGACATGTAGTAACAGAATGCCTTCTGACTGTTAATGGTAGGAACCCTTAGTCTGGAAGCACCCCGCACCTAATGCGAACTGCAGGTAGATTCTGGAGTCTAGCCCTACCATTCATGGGCTTCTTAAAGGCATTAGCTCATTGTGTATTATGAAATTTGTTGTTAAAATGTCTTATATGCTTTTTGAAACACTTGTGTGTTTCTTGAGGCCTAAAGAAGACTCCATAAGTCATTTTGTGTTAGCAAAATGCATGCTGTTATATAGGTGTGTATTTGCTATATAAGCAGATACTGAGAATCATCTTATATCTGTGTGGTAAGCACCTGGAGAAGTGGTTCACATTATGACCTTAGGTAATAATTATGTTGGCCAAACAATAGCCAGAGGTTTGAGATCAACCATTGTTGCTTTGGCTCAGCAGGGAGGTATTGGGCAGAGAGTGTGCTCAAGCCCTCAGGAAGTATTTTCTTTTCAGCTTTCAGCATGCCTGTTCTTGATCACAGTTCTAAACTGGTGAGAGATTTAACTCTATATAAACAGTGGTCTGATAGCTTTGTTGCCTGAAATCTGACCTGTCCCTGGGAGCTCTGCAGACTTGTCAAAACTGTGAATGTGTAAACGGAAGCGAGTTTTCCTGTAATGCAGCATATTCAGGAAATGTTGGTTGTGGGATCTGGAGGACATCAAATCTTGCATATTCTACACAATATCAGTATCTGTATTTTAAGACTATGATTTCTCCCAAAAATATGAGCATATAAGTCACTCTGAAGTAGTAATCTGGGTTCACACAACATGACAACTCACTGTGACTAGCTTCCCATGATGGGGCATTGCGTCATGTGAACAGGTCACTGATAACCCATGCTCAAGAACTGAGTATGGGTTGAATATGGATTGTCATTAAGAGACATGAGTTGTTGCTGAAATGTGGGTTATCATGTTTTCTGAATAAAGCTGGAATAACGAATTCAGGTGAAAACTCACAGTGTACAACCTACTAACAAAGCATGGCTCCTCTTAATGGGTTGTTTGTGGTGAACAAGCCATGGCTTGTTACCCTACCTCACTTCTGACTGCACAATAATCCACATTGCAGCAACCATCCACACTCAACCTGTACTCAGTCCTGGAGTATGGGTGAACCCAGTAATTGCATTCCAGTTCAGTAGGGTTTCTGAGAGGATAAATTTAGTTGTTCCAAGTAGGAGAAGTAGACATAAGGCAGACATTTAAGCTGGATGGATGAAACAAGGAATATCTTCATCATCATCATCATCATCATCATCATCATCCCATTGCATTACTATCCTGCCTTTTTTCCTCTTGTTAGGAACTCAAGGCAACTTACATTGTTCCGTTTTTTCCTCACAACAGCAACCCTGTGAGGTAGGCTGGGATGAGGGTCTGAGACTGGGCCAAAGTCACCCAGTGAACTTCTTGGCCAAATGGGGACCAGAACCCACATCTTCCAGATCCTCAAACTAACACTCTAACCATCACACCACACTATCTCTCAAAAGGGAAATTATTCCATGATTCTGATTCCATGAACCAGCAATACGATAAAAGATTTCAAGTTATAGAAAACAAGCCAGTCTCCCTGGACATGTTGAAGCTCTAGAATGTGCCTGAAGTAGTTCTTTAGATCTCAGCCTTTAGCCTTTAGCACAATAACACAAGGGTTTAACACCATGGATTCTAAGCCCTTAAACTGGCGCTTAGCAAGTCATCTCACCTCATTCCTATTCTAATTTAAAATAAGTTACTGTACATGACTTCCTCTTTAGCTGCAGAACATGTTTTAAATCTCTTAAGTTTCAGAAAGGTTTTGTGATGTTCAGATATAAAAGTTAGCTGCCTTTCTGGTTCTTAAGATTCTCTTTTTTAAGGAAGGCTATTAGCACATTCTTAAAGGAATGTATTGACAAAAGTAGCAGTTACCAAAAAAAAGTAAGTGAATGAGAGAAATTTGAAATGATTTTGTACTGTTTTTCAAGTATGACTTCCCATTAATTATTATAAGTCTTTGCATATATCAGAAGAAAGACATCAAATGAATGTGTTTTCCATATGTTTACTGTTTCTTTGCTCTCTTTTGTTTTTGCTCTTGGCATTTGTTTCCACATAACTTCATATTTACTTTCTCTGCCCCTTCCTTTCTATTTCCCTTTTAGAAATCTTCTAGAGTCTCTGAGGATGACATCAGGTTGAGAAAAGAGAGAGACCAATACTGTGCCAATTTCCTGCAGCCTGCTCGTGTTCGTTCAACAAAGGAAGACAAAATGGAAACTGAAGCCCTTGTCTCAGATCATAAAAATATCACAGTAGGGACTTCAACATATGCAGGAGACAATCAAACTCACTTATTTTCCCCTGCTGCCAGTCACAATGGACTTAAAGAAAGACATGAATCCTTGGACAGTGAGGTTGCTAAAGAGATCAGATATCTTGATGAGGTGCTAGAGGCGAACTGTTGTGAATCTGCTACCGAAAACCCCTTTAATGGGATGTCTTCCTCCTCTCCAGAGCCAACTGGAGCTATTGTTGTGGATGGCTCAGGTCCATCTGTTCATATTACTAATGATTCCACAGCACTCCATAAAAGTGACATCATGGTAGTTGGTGGGCAAACACCTCCAGTTGTTGAACACAGTGGAATAAGTGCGGTCTCTGGGAAGCTAAAACCAAATGGCCATTCTGTGGACGTACTACAAGAGGAACATGGTGACAATCTAAAAGTACCGGTGAGTCCCTGCTCTTCCACAAGCTCAAGGTCTTCCAAAGATGGAGAAATGACATTAGCCACCATTAAGAAGGAAGCCAAGTTTGAGCTTAGAGCCTTTCAGGAAGAAAAAAAGCCATCCAAGCTCTTTGAAGAGGAGGACCCAAGAGAAAACTACAGGGTGCAGAAAGTGAGACCTTCTGAAGAAATGATAGAGCTGGAAAAAGAGAGGCGGGAACTCATCCGAAGCCAGGCAGTCAAGAAGAATCCAGGCATTGCAGCAAAGTGGTGGAACCCACCCCAGGAGAAGACATTAGAGGAACAGCTAGATGAGGAGCATTTGGAATCTCACAAAAAATATAAAGAACGCAAAGAGAAGCAGCAGCAGCAGCCACCGACACCTGTGAAATATGTCTCCCATTCCCCTGTACCACCAGATCCAGCGAGCCTTAAAAAGGTTGACATTGTCACTGAACAAATAGATTTCTCAACTGCACGGAAACAGTTTCAGTTGATGGAAAATTCAGGTCAGCTAAACAATACAGCTGCACCCAAGAGATCAGGGAATCCCAAAATGTTCACAATCCAGCCCTTCTACAAACCAATTGGCCCATCCCAAATGGACCGGCGAACAGTCTCAGTTACAAAACCTGTGTCTGTGTGTGGACAAACTGTACAGGTTGGCAGTAAAGATATAACGATTGTAAAAGCTGAGAAGGTCTCTTGTATCTCAGATGATAACAGTATCCAGAATGTCTCTGGTGACCCAATGCAAGTGTCTCCTTGCAGTGATTCCACTAAGTCTGGCCCAGCTGCAAAGATCTGGTCAAATGATGGTGAATTCACGAGTGTGAAGGCAGTCTTGACGTTGGTGAGGGATGATGAGCCGGGCTTACTAGATCAGTTCTCAAAGTCAGTCAATGTGTCTTCCCCTCCAGAGGAACTGGACTCTGGTTTGGATGAATTGTCTGTGAGATCTCAGGACACAACAGTTTTGGAAACACTTTCCAATGACTTCAGCATGGACAATATCAGTGACAGTGGTGCCTCCAACGAGACAATGAATGCCCTTCAAGAAAATTCGCTCACTGACTTCTCTTTGCCCCAGACTCCTCAAGCTGACACACCTTCTGAGGGTCGGGGAGAGGGTGTTTCAAAGTCTCTTAGCGACCATGGCTTTTATTCTCCTCCCTCACCATTACTTGATGGTATGCTTATCGATGAACAGTTGGAGTACCAGGCTGGGCTATTGGTTCAGAATGCCATTCAGCAAGCCATAGCTGAGCAGGCAGACAAAGTAAGTTCCAGACAAGCAAAGGACACCACAGTGCAAAAGATTTGTCAGGTCAAGGAGCAGAAGGAGATGGACAAGGCACCTTCTTCAGAGAAACGGCACAATCCAACATTTCAGCCACCTCAGGTGTCATCTCCAGTACAAGAGAAACGGGATACAGCACCAAAGACATCTGCAAGTCCAGACTCTGCACTCAGGGAAAGGCAGGCCCCACCACCATCTCTTGTTGCTCAAGCCACCCAGCCAACCACTGTGGAGGAACCCAAGCCAGAAGTCAGCTATTTCAGCAAGTATTCAGAAGCAGCTGAGCTCAGGAGCACAGCTTCCATTCTGGCTATGCAAGAAGCAGAGGTGACAGTAGGCCCTTTTAGGCTAAGATCCAAAAAGCAGAGGACTTTGTCCATGATAGAAGAAGAGATCCGTGCAGCCCAAGAAAGAGAGGAGGAGCTGAAAAGACAAAGGCAGGGTATACAGTTGACCCGGAGTCCTGTTGCCAAGAGTGCACCTCTGCTATCCACCAAAACTGCATCTTACAGAACTGCACCAGGTAAGACCTTGACAGTTGATCCTTAAGTCAACCAAGCTGCTTTTCTCAGGCTGCATCCTTTCTTTTAGGGTAGACGTGTCACCCTGATCCAAAACTTCCTCAAGGATCATATGAAATGCCTTTTTCCAAAAATGGCAGTAGGATACCTGCAACATGCCCCTGAGCATTCGCAAAGCCTCCCCCCACCCCCCACCGGCTCTCTCCAGCATCCGGTATTCAGAAACCGACTCCTGGAGCAGAAGGTTCCATTTAGCTAATGGGACCAGGAACTATTGGTGCCTAATAGAGCTCTGCATCTTGTAGCAGGGAACTCCGCAAGTTAATCACCGAAGAAGTGTTTTTTTATCTGCCCTGAGCCTGCTGCTGATCAGTTTCGCAAGTTCCTGAGCTCTAATGCTGTATGAGAGACTGTGGGACATTGACAGAAGTTTGTTGAAAGTGCAGGGGTGTGATGGCTCGATCACCCTCTGGGCAGAGAGCTTCTTAGCTGAACAGAATTCCTGTATAGCTAATATCGTCCTCTAATGTCAGTGTAAGAGATACTAAAAGACGTTTCTTTAGAGTTTGTACAATACGTATATCCTTGAATTAAATTTTGTTCTGCTTATAGCACTTCCCAATCAAGTTTCACGTACTGTATTTTTGTTCTTAGCATTACTAACCAATCTAAAATTTCATCAAAATCTGCCATTAGGCTTACTTGACAAAACCTGCTTCTGAAAGAGCCACTTGAATGACATTAAGTACATTTTGTGTAGCATAACATTATAAACTGGAGTCCTGGCACCTCATGGTAAAGATGGGGCAGCTGGGCAGTTTGTCACAGATTTCCTGATCTGAGTTGCTTCCATAGCAAGCAAGTGGTTGAGTATAGCAAAATCTACAGCCTAAGTCTAATTCATAATGAGAACGATGCCAAACTTCAGGCTTCTGTGGCATTCATGCTCTTTGCCCTAGTAGCCTGTCAGGCCACAGGAGAAAGGTTCTCACAAGGTCAGGCCCGTTCTGTGTATTGGCAGGCTCAAGTCAACAACCTGAGCTAAACTTTTATCAAGCAAGATGGGACAAGAAAGTGGCATTGGAGGTGGCTTTGTTAATGCTACCATTAAGTGTAAGATATAGGCTACAATTAAAGGCAGGGGTGGACAGGTTGTGGCTTTCCAGATGTTCTAGCCCCATGATGTTCCAGATGTTCTACTCCCATGACCACTGGCTTTTGGCTATACTGGCTAGGGCTGTAGGCCAAAGCAAGGTTTCCACAAGTTGTCCATCCCTGATTTATAAGACTGACAGAATGGCAAGGATTCAGATGAGCTGACTGAAGTGGTTTCTTGTTTCTTTTGATAGATTGTCAAGCCTCAGTATTTCAGATTTTCTGACTTGGTCTGTTTTTATACTTCTCTATACAAATGCAGAAAATGATATATAGAACAAAGCGAAAATTGGGGTGTGGGGTAGGGTTAAAGCCTGAAATGAAACTGTGAACACGAAAGATGTGTGTGTGTGTGTGTGTGTGTGTGTAAAAATACTAAAAGGAAATAAATAATTTAAATTAGCTATTTATTTATTTATTTATTTATTTAGGACTTCTTGTCCACTACATCAGCCCAAATGACTCCATAAAGGGTATAGTGTTCAGGCTGCAACAGAAGGGGGCCTCTCACAGATCCCTTGTAAAATAAAGGGTACTCCAAAGAATCATTTCTCTATTGTGTACTACAAGGAGAGGCTCACTGGAAGAACTTACTGGTTCGTATGATCAGCAGCAAATTTGTCAAACAGATTTATCAATCAAGCAAAGATTTATTGGTAACAAATCTTTCCAGGGTAATCTGTCTAATCAGACTAAGAGAGGTGGAGTGTGGGAAAATTGAGGGCATAATATATTTGGATTTCAGTAAAGCTTTTGACAAAGTGCCCCATGACATTCTGATTAGCAGACCAGCTAAAATTTGGCTGGATGGAGCAACTCTCAGGTGGATCCACAGTTGGATTCAGAATTGGACTCAAAGACATCTTCTCATACTGGGGAGAGGTAACAGAGAAACAGAGCAAGTCAGAAGGGACCTCCCAGGGTCTAGTCTGACCCTCAGCTCCAGGCAGCTCCAGTCATGACATGCCTACTGAGCAGGTAACAAGCAGGGCACTGCAGGGCTCAGTCCAGGACCAGGGCTCTTCAACAGTTTTATTAATTACTTGGGCAAGGAGCTCCAGGGAATGCTGATCAGATGTGCAGATCACATAAAATTGGGTGGGTTAGCTACTATCCTGGAAGGCAGAAACAAAAATCAAAGTAATCTTGACAGGCAGGAGTCTGAAAGTAGTAGAATGAAATTCAGAAGGGACAAATAGCAAATTCTGCATCTGGGAAAAGGGAACCAAATGTACAGATAAAAGATGTGGGATACTTGGTTCAACAATACTGTAAGTGAGAAGGATCTTGGAAGTGTTGTAGAACACAAACTGAATATGAGTCAACAGTGTGATGTGGCTACGTAAAAAGCAAATGCCGTTTTGGGCTGCATTAATAGAAATAGAGTTTCCAAATGGTGTGAAGTACTGTTTCCCCTGTACACAGCACTAATTAGGCCCCATCTTGAGTATTGTGTCCAGTTCTGGGCATCACACTTCAAGAAAGACCTCCTAGATAACCTGGAGGGGGTTCAGAGGATGATCTGGGAAATGGAAACAAAGCCCTGTGAAGAGAGGTTGCAGGAACTGGGCATGCTTAACCTGGACAAAAGAAGAATGAGGGGAGATGTGACACCACTTTTTGAATACTTGAAAGGCTGTCTGTCATGCAGAGGAGGGCCAGAGGCTCTTCTCAATCATCTCAGAGTGCGGGACACAGAATAATAGACTCAAGTTACAGGAAGGCAAATTCCAGCTGGACTTCAGGATTCCCTGATTTTTAGAGCAGTTTCTCAATGGAAACAGTTACATAGGGCAGTTGTGGGTTCTCCACAGTGGAGGGTGCAAGAGGCCTTTGGACAGCCATCTGTCTGGGATGCTTTGTCTGAAATCCTGTATTCAGCAGTGGTTGGACTCCATGGTCTTATAGACCCCTTCCAACTCTACTGTTCTATGATTCTGTGAAATCATGGGCTATAGTAGGGTTCTGGAGTGCTTTGTTAAATTCTGGAGCAAGCAACTCTGCCTGCCTTCACAGGCCACAATAAGCCATACTGTCCAGGATTGATTGCCACAATAAGTCATGGCAGTGACCACCTGCCGTAGCTTGAATAGTCACAGTTGTAGCCAATACACACCAGCCACTGTTGTTTATTATTTAATCCACAGTAAATACTGGCAGTTTATTTAAACCACAGTGGATGCCAGCAGTCTTGCAGATTTTTATATGCTTTTATAAACAAGTAGTATGCACAATCCAGCTGAATTTAGGTACTTTTAACTCCATGGGTCCTCAAACTACGGCCCGCGGGATCTGGCCTGCGCCGCTGTTCGCCGCCCCACGTGCGCTTGCTGCGCAGGCAGGGAAGTGGTGGCTTGCTCGCTTGGAGATGGACTCCGAGCGAGCAAGCCACCGCTGCACGTGCCCGATGCCACCTCATGCACGCCCGACAGCCACCTCACTGGCCCGTGCCCCCAGGCACCCCCACCTCACCAGCCCACACGTGTAGCCACCGCCTTTCAACTGGCCCCTTATTGGAAAAGTTTGAGGACCCGTTTAACTCCTTTGATTCTAAGGCATATACTTAATTTTCCCATAGACAGCAATGGGTCTTGAATGCACTTCATATTAGCCAGAATGTGTCTTTTATACTGACCTGTGTGCCTTCCAGTGAATGATAAATGATGTAGTCATTTATGAGGTAGAAAAATAATAGACAATCTCAGGAATTAAGGAGAGGAAACTTCATCAGTACAAGAAAGCAATTTTTCTGCTCAGTATTTACTTCTGATCTTAATGACAGAAGGTTACTTCAGAAACAGAAACTTTGGTTTATACTTGGAAAACAAATCTCAGTTCCAGTTCCAAATGGGTAAACTAGCTGGCCACATTTTAATGTCAGCAGTTTTGGTTAGGCTGCTGAATCCATCCTGAGTAACATTTCCAAACATGCGTTCAAGTATTCTTTAGAACTAATAAATAGTCTATGCAAGAAAAAGAAAGAAAGTGAATAAATGATCACATTTTGCTTTACCAGCACACTAACAGTAATGCACCTTACAGCTCTTTGCCAGGATCTGCCCTTTCTGCTCCAGATTTTAAAGGTGGTTTCCTATTTTCGCTGTGGTCCACCAGGAGCAACTGTGTCTTCGATGGGCATTTTGTGGTTCTAAAAATAACTTGAAAAAGGTGGAAACACTTGTTTCTGGAAATGGGCAGATCAGTGGAGGTCAGAGGAAGGAGCTTCATTGACCTGCCTCAGTCTGGAAATAAGCATTTACAATCAGGGTTATTTTTAAAAGTTCCACTTCCCTGTTGCACAAGCAGTGGGTCCCACATGTGCAACAGAACCAGCAGAAGTGGAACAGCCCCATTGGATACTGCAGGAAGAAAGCTTATCAACTGCACCGATGAATTTAGGGCATTCAGAGTAGATTTTTAAGCAGTTCAAAAAACTCTAAAGAAAGCTAGATGCTGGGAAAACACCAAAAGTATAACTGAAAGGGATGTTTGAACAATGTGTACATCTGGATTCATCTTTGTGGAGAGCACATGACCATCTGGTCAAAACATCCATGTTAGAAAGGCAAACAAAATAGGGAGCATTATGATGAATGCACAAATGAAATGCACAGAACAGTAATGTATGTTCTAAGGCAGCCTTCTCCACCCCCTCAGCTGTGTTGGGCAACAGCTCCCTTAATTCCCCGCCAGCCTGCTCAGGATTATGGGGGTTGTGCTCTAGCATATCTGAAGGGTATATTGACAAATCTGTTCTATTGAGTGTACAGATCTTTATAGCATTTTCAAGGTATTTTGTTCATCCTCCCTCTCTACCCAGCTTAGAAGTTCAGTGCAATGTATGGGT